CCCCAGCGCCACTTTGTCCACCACAAATCCCACTTACCAGATCCGGGATCAAACCCGGGCCACCATGGTGGGAAGCCAGAGACTAACCGCTTGAGCTATGGTGCGGCCAGCAATTATAAAAACTACCAGGTTCAAATGGTTAACGCTTAAACGTTGAGGAAATCATGTGACAGCAAATAAACTGGCCTTCTTTGTGTATTACACGTACCAGTTTTATTTTCTGGAATATAACGCCGTGACTCCCTCTGTGGTCTAGTGGTCAGAGTTCCTGGCTACAGATCCAGAGGTCCCGGGTTCGATTCCCGGCGCTACCAGATTTTCTGAGTAGTAGTGGGTCTGAAACGGGGTCCACTCAGCCTCGTGAGGATAATTGAGGAGATATTTCAAGATAATAGCGGATCCGGTCTAGAACAGCGAAATCAGCGGCCGTGGGGATCCGTTGCGGTGACCACGCGACACCCTCTATCCGCTAAATTTGGCACTAACTTCGCCGACAAGCAGCGGTCGCTCGGTCGGTATAGTTCCCTTGCGGACTACAGGCCACAGTTTTCTTGTTTTGTTTTTTTATATAACGCCGTGTAGTCCATTGTAAATCAACCGACGTTTCGGAAGAACATGAAGCCTTCGTCTTCAGCATAGAATTATAATATTCCAGACAAGAAATTAGCGTCAAGCAGGACTACACAATTTAATCCAGAAGATATGATTTTTTATAACCACCGCTGCAGGAATCTCAATACTATATAGGATAATACATGTATGAGGAATTCGAAAGTACTTGGTAGGAAAATGTGGTGGCTTAGTCGAGGTACTAGTCCAGCATTTGCTTGGAAGGACTGAGTACAAACACGGGCCATCCCTGTCACAACTGTTGTAACATAATGTAACGTGTATACCCATTGCTAGGCAACGGGTCGATAAACACATTCCCGCAACACACGAGCAAGCAACAATAAAACATCTATTGCTAAGCAACGACACGGTAAACATGCTTTGTCAACAATACAGGCTGTTTTTTTTCCGTGGGTAGGTGCAAAGTGAATATGAGGGTCGAGTTCCGAAGCTGGCAGAGAACCGTAGTCGAAACAAGATTGGGTGGTCTTCTGAATTGGCAGCTGCAGGAAATGGTAAGAGAAGAAGCAGACTGTGCCAAAGAGACGTCATGTGTGATCTGAAATTTCAGTGAGACTGATAAATCCGTTGGCAGGATACGACTAGTAAACACCGAGAATTCTAGTGCTTGTGCAACGGTGAAATAAAAGTATGTAGTTCAGCGATAGCGCTATAATCTCCTGTAGTCCCGAACTGTGTAAATGTATAAGTGTCAACAAATCCAATCATCCAAACCAAAACCCGTCTTATAAGTCACGCACAAACCCAACAATTGACAAAATCTTTAGTATTTCACCTGCTAATCAGGTTTGCTGATATTCTGACGTAAGACGCACTGCACAAAAAATAAAATATTTATATCATGAGATTATATTAATTTATTAGTTTATGGCATATTTATCGCGATGTCGATATCTCAGACAGCATGGCGTCAAATGACGCCCATGTCCCGTCCGGCATTCGCTAGGAAATATTGAATAAAACCAGGAAAATCCTGTGTCCCGGTCGAGATTCGAACAAGGCAACTCCGGAGTGCAAAGCAGAACCGTTCGAACTTTATCCAACAAAAAATTCCGACTAGTTGTTATGTAAAAATGATGTTAAATGTTATAGGCATATTGCCGTCTGTAACATGATGAATAGTGATATTTACATTTTGGATTTAATGGACTGTCCATTTTATCATTTTGTTTGTTGAGTTCTCCGCTAAATTAATTTACACGAAAGGTTTTACGGGTATAGGTCTGACCACTCGTATGCGAGTCCAACTCAAACTAAACACACGACTTTGATTTACATTATGTATCGCATTGACTTCCCAAACATATGGCGGCGAACATATGCTTCACTCAAATGTTATCTACAAAACTACAGTAAAGCACAGAGAATGCTGAAATGCTGAATGAAGATGGGACTGGTAAAAATAAATAACCTCTATAAGTCATATACTTTAAATATTTCTTCGAAAAATTAAAACAAATACATTTCTATAAAGATAAAGCAACAAAACGAACTCCGTGGCTTGTAGTCCGCAAACGAACTATACCGACCGAGCAACCGCCGCTTGTCGGCGAAGTTAGTGCCATCTTTAGCGGATAGAGGGTGTCGCTTAGTCTGCGTAAAGGATCCCCACGGCCGTCGATCACGGTTTTCTAAAACCGTACATTTCTATAAAGACAAAAGACTTAAACGTCATTCTGACATGTATAACGCAAAAACAAAAGTAAAGCTATACGTGTAAGATGCCGTGGAGACCCATAGGGTTGTGAGACGTCGAGACTCCCATATTTTCTAGACAATCGGTTCACAGATGGCGGTGAGGTTGTCAGCCTTATGCGTCGGCCGTCCTATAACCCAAGGAAGATTCGTGGTACCCATTTCTGTTAGAGGCAGAGTAGAACTCAGGGCCACTGTGGGGATGGAAGGATTAGGCCAATTGAAAAATCCAATTACCTCATTGGGAATCGAACCCGCGACCTTCTGGCTTGTAGCATAGTGCCTCAACCAACTACCTTACCGCGTGCACCATCATATAACGTTGTATTATAACAAAAACTGAGTACAAGAACAGAGATTCGAGACTTGTAGTGTTACAAAACCTGCTAGCATAGACGGTGATCCTGCCGAAGTTCGAACCGAGAACCTCCCAAGTATGAGTCTTAAGGCGCGACCACATTACTCGTGCTCGTGCTCGCCAGGCTTGTGCTCGTCGGGAGCCTCGTCTGGCTTTTACTTGTGCTCGTAAATCTTCGTCCACACTACTTCAGTTGCTCGCCAGGCTTCGGCGCGTGAGAATCCGTATATTTACTCGTAGAGTGTATAGGCTGTAGTCGTATTTTAATTTATTGGTTATAGTTTTTAAATTTAAAATTTAAAATTTGCTTGTCTCGTGACTTGTCACATCGTCCACATTACTCGCGAGCACAGCGAGTCACACGAGCACGACTAATGTGGACACGCCTTTACAGTGCTACCGCTATTCCACAAGCTATCCTTGTGCTTAACTAATTCAGTACCGCGCCATGAAGACGCATGGGGGAGTGGAGGTATATCCCCAACATTCTTCATCTTTGCACTGGAAGCAGGTGAGTTGTCAGCTTCACGCCCCAGCCGCTTTAACGCAAGGGAAATCTACCCTTCGGCTAAGAGGATAGGAGGATCCCAAAGCGGGTCTGGACGCCGTGAAAAAGATAAAAATCACTTACTCCTGTTGGGAATCGAACCCAGTCTTCCACTCCGTAGCGTGCCTCTCCAACGACTGAGCTATCCCGCCATAGCCCTCTAAATATTTAATTCTAAAGGTTTAATTTTAAATGCTCTCGACCTCTGCCATATGCGAGGTATGAAGAACTGAGTGTAATAAATAAAATGCGTTTTAATTAAAACTGCGCTCACTTCAGTAGCGGCCTATTGCATCGCTTCTTCGCTCCTTCGCTTAACGACGCTAAATGATGCGCAGAGTTTGTGAGCAGACTGTATTGAATTTAAAAATGGAAAACTGCAAAGGTTAGTGAGCAGGCATAGCTCAGTCGGTATAGCGACTAGCTACTGGCTGGACGACCGAGGGGTCGGAGTTCGAGTCCCGGTGGGGTCAAGAATTTTCACTTCAACATGTCGTCCAGACGGGCTCTAGGATCCAACTAACCTTATATCCAATGGGTATCGGGGGCTCTTTCCCCGGGGTAAAGCGGCCGGGGCGTGAAGCTCCACCTAGTGCCGAGGTCAAGAAAATGTGGATCTATACATCCACTCCCCCATACTCCTTCATGCCGTAGTACTTACTTAGCTAAGTATAAGGGCAACTTTACCTTTAAACTGCAAAATTTATAAAGAGTACTGTCTTTCGGGATATGGCACCGTGTAGTCTGTTAAAAATCAACAGACGTTTCCGAGGAATATATCGCCTCCATCTTCAGGGTCTAACAGTGTGAAAACTGGTGGCAACGCTTTCTCGTTGCTATCTTCTCAAGCTTATTCGACCCTGAAGATTAATTACGAGTTTGACCAATGTAGGATGAAATATATGTTGCCTGCTTTAAGTTAGACAAAGTTTTCATTCGGGTACCAATGCTGAAAAGTTACCACCTACCAACGCCCGCCACTTTGCTGTGGTTTCGTCTCCTGAAGGCCCTAATGGCGGGCTACGAGTGTCTGTCCGTCGAATGTATCAACACGCAACGTCTTCAGGTCTCCGACACACGGAGTTGCGTCAAACTGGGAAACGTAAAGCCATTCGCTTCTGTTGACCTCAACAGCCAATGACAATAGTTTCGTACGTTTCCATTAGGTCGGCAAAATGCTTCCAACTCTTTCTTAATGTTGGCTCAATATGTCGATATGAGACAATTTAAACAAAACTGTTCACGTCCTATTTGACAGCTGAAGGACCTCATTTTCTCAAAATAAACGTGACTGTATACCAATGTATAATATTGACCATTTTCTTTACGATGTTACATTCATGTCAACTTCATTTCGTTACCTTCCTTCATAATCTAATTGCTTTTGTTGAGTCCGGTTCCTTTGCACGTTTTTCGTAATTTTACTTTCTTTGTCTGCCATTTTCTTTAAGAGTTCACCTTCTTTACCTAGTCCAGTTCCTTTTTATTTCTATTTCCTAAATTACCTCACATCCTATTCAATTACTACCGGCAAGGCTCTTTCCCGGGGATAAGACGGTCGGAGCGTGAAGCTGACCGCTCGCATCCAGATATTGCCTAAGTCAACAAAAATATGAATCCACACATCCACTGCCCCATATTCCTTCACGGCACAATGCTTAATTAGTTAAGCACAGGGAAAAACATTAATTTTTGCATTTACCCCATTTTTGTTAACACTTTCACTTCCTACATCCACTAACATTTACGAAATAAATAAATGCTTACCAGTACTCCAGTTATCCATGACGTAGCCCGTGTTACAACTGCAATGTACATGGTCAGTCCACAATTCAACACAATCATTCATGTCCAGACACTACACAACACTGTACACCACGCGACTGCAACTGCGTTCCCACCCGACCAATACGGTGGACCCCAGCGAACTGAAGGGACGAGTGCTACTCCTCAAGACGGCGCAGGGATTCCAAGCGACAGCTAGCTTCAACAACAGGTGTTATATCACCATGAGTGCAGGTATAAAACCCGGACTGCTGCAGGCTCTCATTACATCCACTCATATGCAATACAGAATAGAAACGCTACTGTGCATGCTGGCTTTTCATGAAAGGATTTTTTATATGTATTTGCTTTGTTGTTCCGTTGGGAACAATACCTATAGTTACAAGAGCATGGCGTTACCAAATGTGAAGTTATAGTCTGTCATGCTCGTTGTAGGCCTATTCATAAGTATAGTCAGATGACAACTGATTAGTCAGTAAGCAAAGCACATAATTACTGGTTCCATAAATCATCTGGCAATCAATCAAACAAAACACGCGCATTGATCACTAAATAAAAAAGTATAATTATGTCAAAAGATAAGCCCTGTCTCATAACATAATCAGCAGAAAATACAGTTATTAGTAAACTTTCTGGTTTTTTTTACGTTCCTTTTTGTCACGTTTTTTTTTTTTTTTTTGCTTTTATTTTTGATATACATGTTATATGCGAATATAGTGTGATCTTGAAAAATGTACCTTGATATTTTGGCTGATTTTACACGGTTCCAGCACCCCTCAATACTAAAAGTGATAAGAGAATTCCGTCTGTTTATTTCTGTTTGTATGTACGTACCCCCTGATAGCGCCTCAACGTTGGAAGGGCTTTTTATTTATATTCAGTAGTACAACAGGAAGCAGTCACTGTAGCCGCGAGGTCTAAGGCAAGAACTGCCTTCGCCCCTTCAAACACTAGAATATTGGGTTCGAATCCCAATTGAGTCATAGAAGTCTGTGTTCTTTTATTCTGTTTGTGTTTGTTCTGTGTGTAGGTTAAGGGCCTTGAGGGGGCTGATCTCCCGTCCAAGGGGTCCTACTGACTCTGTAAAAGATTAAAAAATTCAAAAGCGGTCAAGGCCCCAAAAAAGGCCTGTAAACAGACAGACAGATAGAACGCAGGTAGCAAGCACAACTTGCTGTGAGAGCCTCAGATTCTGTTAATATGAGTTTAATTAATGAATTCTGAAATTAAGATCGCACAGTTAATGCCGCAATTTCTGGCAGCCTGAAATCTTCTAATGGTTCCAATAGACAGGCTATCAGATGCGTCATTAGTCCGAAGCGAACATATCCCGGAAAGGATGAGGGCGTGGCGGTGCCAGGTGGGAAGCGAGACCAGTCACAGCGGGTGAAGGTTTTGTTACCAAGCAGTGCAACTTACAAGATAAATCAGGTTCGGTATTTCAACATAACCCTTACACGGCTTAGTGCAGAGCTCCGACACTGGGCCGGCTGGCCGGGTGATAGGGGCCAAGGACGAGCCTAGTAGTGATGTGGGAGTTTATATTGTACTGCAGAAAACATATTTGCAGCAGGAGATACAACCGTGGGGGTTATTGGAATTCTTATGCAGAAAACGTTCAAGATCGCAGAGAATACTGTTACAAGCCGGATGGTCGCGGTTTCGATATCCGATAACATCATTGGATTTTTCAACTGACCTAATCCTTCCAGTCGTACTATGGCCCTGGGGTCGACTCAGCCTCTAACAGAAATGAGTACCAGGAATCTTCCTAGGGGGTTAAGGTGGCCGGCACATAAGGCTGACAACCCCACCGACATCTGTGAGGTAATTGTCTAGAAAATGTGGGAGCCTCGACGTTTCAAAACCTTATGGGCCCCCCATAGCCAGTTACAGAAATAGTTTTACCTTACCTCTATCACATAGAATACACACGTGGGATTACTGGAATTATAATGCAGAAGACATTCTATACCACGGAGCAAATAGCGGCATATTCTGTATATGAAGAAGATTGTCTTTGCTCCGATCGACCTGAAATCATTATAAATAGCCACAATAGTACCGTGATCAGTGGCGAGGATACATAATTGCGCCCCAAAATTACAAATATACCTCGATTTAAGTTAAACATGGCTGCTGTTTTGTAACAATGTCCATTGTCTTCAGGCCATTCACAGAAAGCTTTTCGGAATCTCTTTCCCTCACCGAATATAAGGAAGCAAAGGGTTTATTGCATGTCTCAGACAACTCTGAGGGTAACACACAAACTTCAAAGGACAACATTAAGGAAGAAATCTCCAATGAGATCTCCAGTGTGGTGATGCTGATACCCACCGTATGTTAAAAACAGGGTTGAGTAAAGAAGAGTTGTAGCTTCTGGGGCATAACGTCGTATAGCCCGTTGAAATTCAACCGAAATTCTGGAGGAACATTTCACCTTCATATGGAAGCTCGAAGAATAACACAGGCAAGAAAATTTTGTGAAACAGTTAGTAAACAAAGCAAAGCTTGCCACGTGAAAATGGATGCTACATGTGCCTCCGAAACGTCGGCTGACTTTCAACGGACTACACTACGTTATATCCCAGAAGATAAATGACCTCGGCAATAGTTGCAGGTGAGTGGTCAGCTTCACGCTCCTGCTGCTTTACCCCCGGGGAATGATCCGCTGGTGCCAATTGGATAGGAGACTGAGTGAACTGTCTGGATGACGTGGAGAAGAGAAAATCCCTCACTGCCGGGAATCGAACGGACTGAATAAATTTGAAATGATGACGTAATGACGCACATCTGAGGACAACGCAAAGTCAGAGATGTTTCAGACTGAGCTGCGACCTTTAGAAATACTTATTATCTATAAATAGGCCAGGACGCAATTATACCATGAAGATGGAGGTAGTTTTGTTCCTCCGAAGCGTTTAAATCGACATACAAGATTACATGGTATCACAATCTACAAGACCATAAACTGAAACTCAACTACGTCATGACTCGACCTGTACATGAGCCTGCTAATATGTGATCCTTGTGCAGGTCACAATACTCCTCATATCTGCTAACTCATGAAATGAACACTGACCTGGGTACGTTTTGTTTGCAGTAAATCTTTTCAAAAGCAAGAGGGGAGAATGGAACCTAAGTAAACTAACCCTGCGCCCCCTCCCCCTCCTCCTTTGTATAGCTTTCAGCTGCAAGACGGTATCTGTTGCGAAGTAAATGGCTTTGTATAAACCCCGAGGAAACTTTCAGCGTATGTTAGCTTACACTAAGCAATTTGTAACGGCATTCATGCCTCACTGACTTTCTTCAATCATTCAGGAAAGTGAAAAAGCAAAGACAGATTGCATCTGCACAGTGTAGTGTCTAAGCTGGGTACAACAACAAGAAATTACGAAATCTAATCCCGGTTTACGTATACGAACACTATTCGTGGATTATACATCAGTATGATCTGCAAGTTTGTTGACGACGGTGTATTAATACGGGGGCATTCGGTAGCGTAATTGGTTGAGGCACTATGCTATATGCCGGAAGTTCCCGAGTTCGATTCCCGATGAAATGACTGGATTTTTCAATTTACTTAATCCTTCCAGCCGCACTATGGCCCTGGGGTCGACTCAGCCTCTAACACAAATGAGTACCAGGAATCTTCCTGGGGGGTAAAAGGCGGCCGACGAGTAAGGCTGACAACCTAACCGCCATCTTGTATGAGCCGATTGTCTAGAGAGTGTGGAAGCCTCAACGTCTCACAACCCTATGGGCCTCCACGGTCTGTTACAGGGATAACTTTACTATTTTTACCTAAGTAGGAGTAGTCAGTTTCACGCCCCGGTCGATTTAACCTCGAGTAAATAACACTCAGTATTGAATTAATAAGGGACTTGATGGACCTCAGAGCACGTGTGAATGCCGTAACAATACATTCTTCCACGGGGAATCTACCTCCGATAAATATATTTTGGAACGAGGCATTAAGAAATATATGGTTGGTTTCTTTAAAGTAATAAATCGTCCTTCCGTGGGAGCCAACGAAGGGGTGGGGGGAGAAAATCATACATCTACACCGCCTGTAATTTTTTAATGAAAAAAAGGAAACATAGAAAATAATAATATAAACAACTAAAGACAATTTACAAAAATTATTCTACTTGTGATACTCACGAAGATAGTAAAAATAAAATAACTTAAAACTAAGTTTGTAAGTAAACTGTATGGCAGTCCCTTCCTCAATTCTCCGGAAGAAAAAAAACTTGGCGACCTTCATGGGTGTTAGCCTTATTCAATTCCGATTTGCAGCATAACGGTATTCTGCAGTATAAGTCGATGAGAAGCTGAGAGTGAGTCAGATGGACAGATACCTGCAATGGGCACAAGACGCCTCGCCATGCTTGGTCACTACAACATTTCCAGGGCCTAAGTGGGCGAACAGTAAAGAGTTTTTTATATTTCTCTTTTCCGCTGCGGCTTCTTTCCCTATTTTGAATCTATATTATGTAAAGCGTATCGCCGAAGGGCGATTCAAAAACAAAAGGTTCGAAAAAGCATGTGAGGAGCAGATCTCCTTAACAGATTGACACGTTGCCTTAAAAACCAATGCCTCAGCGTGATGAAGTGGCCCTTAAGTACATCATTTCTTGCACTAGAATCATAACATATAAAATGAGGAGGTTTTCTTTTTATTATGTGGCATCTTTACCATTACAGTGAGGAGCTACTTCAATAACAAACCATTCAGTGTAACAAACTTCATAGAATGGACGGCGTTATTGGTGTATCCTCACAAGAATTGGCCCCTTGTCGTAAGCCTCAGAGGCATAAGAATAGAAGGTAAATAGCTTAACACTTTTAAAACAATAATAATCCCTGTACCTGTCGTAGACCGCCTCTGTGGTCTAGTGGTCAGCGTTTCTGACTAGGTCCGGGTTCGATTCCCGGCGCTACCAGATTTTTTTCTGAGACGGGATCCACTCAGCCTCGTGATAATTGAGGGGCTATTTCAAGGAAACGGCCGTGGGGATTTGTTGCGCTGACCACGCGACACCCTCTATCCGCAAAAGCTGGCACTAAACTTCGCCGACAAGCGGCGGTCGCTCGGTCCGTATAGTTCGCTTGCGGACTAAA